TATCCGTTATTGGAGAAGTTGATTCCTCACTCATAACACTATATGTATTACGTTGTCCATTCCTGTGAACTCCTTCATTCATTAAATAACTAAAAACGTAAATTGTTTGTAAAAATATATTGCGTAATTCGAACAGGAAATTATACCATATATCATTTCAAAGATACAGTATTATATTTGAGCTGAAAAATGGTACAAAAAAATCCAGAAATTTAGGGGATTGCGTTCAGGTCGCCCACGTGAAAATTGAACAAGCTAACCATTATGCTAGTGGGAACATTTTTTAAAAGAGTCTCTATTATGCCTAGTTATATCATTAAAAAAATATTGAGAGGCAAAAAAAATGAAAAAATCGACTTTTTAAATTCTCTTCCGGTAGCTACCGTAACTATCAACGACGCACAAAAAGGCAATTCCGCATATCTAGAAGTCATGTTCTATCATCTCTAATAAGTCTCCAGTTCATATCTTTAGCCGTTCTTGAGAAATGCCGCGGAAAAAAAAAACATTTAAAAATCAGGAAATTGCCCATAACATGGAACCGGAAGTGTATTTTCCAAAATTCTTTCAAATGTAACAATGGTTTTTTAAAGCGCATTATCCCTGAAAGTTTGACGAAAAACCACTGAAGAGTTCTCGACACATGGCGTGTTTAATATTTGTCTAAAAAATATTGATAATTATTATAATATTTATCATCAATTTTCAAACAAATTATATGTTATGCATTCTGAAGAGAGTCACTATTAATATCATCAAAATATATATTAAAAAACAAAAAAGTTGAAAAATTCGACTTTTTAAATCCCCTTCCGGTAGCGACCGGAAGTATTGACGACGCACGAAAAGGCGATTCTGGTAATTTAGAAGACATGTTCTATAATCTCTAATAAGTCTCCAGTTCATACCTTTAGTCGTTCTTTAGATACGCCGCGGACAAAATTCCATTTGAAAATCAGGAATTTGCCCATAATTTGGAAGCGGAAGCGAATTTTCCAAATTTTACTTATGATGAACAAAGTTAGTATAGTTATTCATATTTTGTGAAAGTTTCATTGAAAACCACTGAATAGTTTTCGAGAAATCGCGTGCACAAAATTTTGGTCAAAAAAAAGAATAATAAGAAACAGTAGAATCACTATAAGGTCTTCCGTGAAGACGGAAGACCTTAATAATAAGAAGAAGAAACAATAGAATCACTATAAGGAGACGGAAGACCTTAAAAACAGAAAAACAAAATTAAAGTGTTAAAAGTAAATGAAAAAAGGACACACAAGAATACAGTACATAATATTTTTTACTTAAATAGTACCAGAAAGTTTTTTGAGTTCATGTAATTAATTTTTTCCCCTCTTCCGTACTTTTCATGTCTGCAAAAGGTATTAAACACACATATAAAAAGACAAATCTTTCATTATAAGTGCAAAAAAAAAGTCTCTCAAAAAGAAAAGAATGTTGAAACTTGCAAGTAGTCTACAGAATACGTTGGACAAATGATGGTGAATATGTTAGATGAAGGAATTTAATTCTTGATGCAACGATCCTACCCTGATATAGGAAACGTCTTGCCTATGTTATGCTGGTTTTGATTCTATGTATTGTGATTTTCTCAATGATTAGAACATTCCTGAAGTTATTCAATAGAGAAATATAAATAGTAAGGCACAGCGTATAGCATAAAGGATGAAAAAAATAGATTTTGTCAACTCATTTTATTTTTATTCTTGCAAGCATAAACTGCGCAATACATTTACGTTATTCAATTATATTATCGGATAGAGAAGATACCATCTATTATAACACATTGGGTTTTACATTACGAAATGTCGTAAGGATGACAGATTTCACAAGTATTCCTTTTTCGTGGAAAAAAGTAATACATTTAAATTTTTTAAATTAAGCATACCTACCAATACTTTTTAAGCATACTTATCAAATACAAACATTATGATATTCATTTTTCAAACTTCATGATATAAAATGTCCAAATAACTTATTATAACAAAAGAATTAGATGGCTATCAATATTTTATGCTGATTATTGATAACTCTTGTCACTAAATTGGAGTTTTACCCATGCAGCTGTGAAGACACATAAGTACCTGAAAATCAAAGTTGCAATTCTTCAAACAAGATTTTAGTTCCCAATTATTTCAGAACTCGTCATTAAATTCACTTCTAGATCCAATGGCTTATAAGCCATTTTAGGAGACCTTGGTTTTATTTCAAATCCTGTAAATCAAATAATATATGCACATTTCCCTTCCAAAAACTAGAGTTCTATTTTTCAAAATTACGTTTTAATTTCAAATATCTTAAACATTCGAGCCTTTGGAAATGAATTGGATTTGATTTGCTGGATTTCAAATTTCCTTTCCTTTAACATAACTACTTAGCAATCTTGATTTCCACACTTTTAAGGTCTGCAAAAAGGTAATAAAATACACACACCAAGACATTCGATCAGACAAACCCTTAATTATTTTTTTAGATTTGTATCGAGAAAAAGGGATATGTTTTGAAAGAATTGTGTTAAAACTTGCAAGCAGTATAGAAAATAAAATGGACAAATAGTGATAATTTTTTTAATGGAGGAATTTTATTCTTGATGCAACGATCCTACTCTGACATTGGAAAATTTTCTATGTTACAGATTATTTTTGAAAATTCATAAAATTTAGATTTGATGCCACATTCTTTTAAAATTTTCTCAAAGATTAGAACATTCCCGAAGGTTTTATATCTAGAAACGTAGTAAAGTAAACCTCGTTGAATAACATAAACTGATAAAGGATGGATTTATCAATTTTAAATATGAAATTATTTTGATTTTATTTTTGATTGCATAAGCTGCCTAATACTTTGTGTTACTTATTTCATTTAATTGACTGACAACGGAACACTAACCGTGTAAGTTTAATATTATAAAACCTTGACGACGCAGAGATCACTAAATTTTTTTTTCTCGGAATGAAAATAAACATTTCATTTTTTTTAAAAGAAAAATCATATTACCAATGTATAGATTATGCTAATCATTTTTACTTTAAACTTCTTACGCTTTAATATGCCAATTTTTTGTGACAATTGAAGATTAACATGGGCATTATATCATTTCTTTTATTTGCTGATGATATAGTTAATTCTTTCATTCAGATCGAAGTTTTTCCAAAAGAGTAAGAACCAATCTGTTTACATGCTGAAGTATTTGACAATCAAAGCTGCAATTTTCAACAAGAATTGATTATGTTTTCAACGGCATTTTACCCATTTCTCCTGCTAAATTGTCCTCAAATTCACTTCTTAATTAAAGGGGTAAGAAAACACTTCTTCCTTGCACACATAATTTATTCATGTATAAGCCATTCATATTAGGCCATTATTTACACACTGAATTGTCGACGTATTTTTCCGTTATTTCCCTATCATGATAAGGAGCACACGGCGGGTGTGAGCGATCGGCAGGGGTTGCTCACTCCTCTCCATGACACCTGATCTCACCTCTGATGTCTTAGAGGTCCGTGTTTGCTCTGCTCTTATTTTGTAGTGTTTAATGGACTTTTAAGCTCGAATGCTGTTCGGTATCTCCACATGTTTCATGTATGCTACTTTTTATTTGAATTCTGAAATCTACCTAACGCTTGTACTTACAAAATGGAGGTTTAGTACTTTTTTTTTATTTCAAAGGATGGGATTCTCAGAATCACGTCTCAATTTTAAATATCTCAAATATTCAAGTCAACTGATATAAATTGAATTTGAAAATAAATTACAGAAATCCTTGCACTGATACATTTTAGGGTTCAGTAAAATTTTGTTCATCTTTCAACACTTATCCGCTTAATTTACAACAACAACCACTTTGTGTTTGAACGAAAATATATAAGAAATACCTTTCTTTCAAATATTTATGTAGTTGTATTCCTATTTAAAAGTTAGCAATTTTCCTTCTCTGAATATAATCTGCAATGAGAAACTTGAATTATGCCTTTTTAAATACAATCTGTATCTAGAAATCTTGAAAAGATATTTGATCATTTAAGGTATTGTTTGTTTGCGTTAAAAATTCAATTAAGTACAAATCATCGGCTACAAAGAAATAAAGCTTTATATACAATATCGATATTTTTCTGGCAAAATAGCTTAAGATTATAAACCTGATGACAGAACTGTATTAAGAAATAAAAGGAATACCACATATTGTATGAAAACTAATTTACTATAGATTTCAGCATTCTAAACAGTGATCTAAGGGTAAAAAATCTGTAGGGTTTAGTATTTCTTAACCGTATTAAAGGTCGCTTTCATGGTTGCTGAATTTAAGTTCATGGAATCTGTATCCTTCATCCCGAAACAGATTTTCAATGCAGATTATATTTTCAGTGTGAAAAAGTCTTTCGTGACTGTTTTTCAAATGAATATTTTAATTTTTTTTATATAATGAGAAAAAAGATATATAAAGGATACGTATGAAAATCTTAACTTCACTGGCTTCTGTAGAGCTTAAAGGTCCGCCATCATGAAGGTAAGCTTTTGTATCTTGTTCTTTTCTTATTAACTTACAACATTTAAAGAATTAAATCGTTCTTCTGAAAGAAATTGACGGTGTACGTATTTATGAACAAAATGTTACTTAACTAATGTAGTTTGTAAAATTAAATTCGTAATATTCAACTGTCAAAGTAAAGCAAACCGTAAGTTGTTTTTATGTTTTTTTTTTATATTTACCAAGGGAAAAAAAAAACTTTTTTAAACTCTAAGAATGTTCCATAAAAATTTGAATTTTTTTTTCTGTTATCTTGAGTGCGAAATATTTATTTGTTGTACTTAATCCCATAATGACAAACTCGTATCCATACATTGAAGTTTGGTTTTGTTTTCTCTTTATCCAGAATGTCCCTTCACTATTACTAGTTAGTATATTTGTCTCAAGTGCTTTTAATTTTATCATATTGATATTGAATATTATAGTGAAAACCTTAATTTCAGTGCGCTTGGTTCTTTATTGCTACATTCCTTTTTGGTGCTTATTTCACTCATGCTTCTGAGAGGAAATGTGATGAAATAAAATTTGGAAGAGGGACATATGACAAGAAAAAGGAATGCTGGAAGTCTGCGCCCACGAAACCGAATTTGAAGGTCAAGTCTGACGGTCAATCTTTGTCAATCAGGTCAGAATTCACTTCATTTAAATTAGTCCATGTATGTCACATTCAGAAAAAAATAGTTGTAAACTTTCATTGCCAATATCCAATCTGCATTGATAGCACTCAAATGTTAAGCAAATGCTTATGGTTTTATTATAAGATTAAATTTATATTTGTGATGCGTATTAAATATTTTGTTATACTTATAGATTTCATAAAATTGCATGTATCAAAAATGCGCTAAATGATAAAAATACATGTATCTTACGATATGAAGCTTTTTTGTCATTATGCTAATTTTCTGAGACCTTAATATTTCCTTTGGCATATTAAAATTGCATGCTACTTATGATTTGATAAAAGTTATGTTTGCTAATATATTTCTTAAAACTTGAAACGTTATCTAAGAAATAATAAGTTGCCCTGATGTGATTTTGTTTAGTATTTATAATTGAAATCATTGAAATTTAGATACATGTGTTATTTTGAAGGAAAGTTCAAATATTTTATAATAATTAAAATGTCTTGTTATACCAAAGAATTCAGTATTCATGTAGTTAATGTATGAAAATAAATACGCAATATATATGTAATGCATATATTTATGGGATTAAGCTTTTTCTTTCTTGATCATTCAACATACTGATTTTGAGAGAGAATTTCGCCGCGTTTTAAAATGAAATTCTACTTCTAATTTGATGAAATTTGAAGTTCATAAAACAGTCATATTTCCCAGTATTATTTCCCTCAGCCCCACACCCAAAAATATTTACATTCAGTGTAATTTTCTCTATGAAATCGATTAGAAATCTACGACGTTCAAATCTCTATAACACACGCAAAACCTTGTCATCGCGCGGTAGAATACACAGTAGGAACTATATGCATTTTCAATATCTAGGAACACCAAAATGCACATTGTTCTGACTCATATTAATAATTAAAAAAAACAACTACCCTGTTAAATTAATGTAAAATACAACAACTGTACATTTCAGATGAATTTGTCTTTTTTTTCTAGAAATGTTCATTTGTGTTGTTTAACTTTCCAACGTCACAAACGGCTTTCATATCTATTAAGCACACCAGTTCTGATAGGCGCTAAATTCATAATAAAGATTAACGAAATAAACAATTATGAAGAAAATTAGAGAAGGTAAATATAAGCATTGAATTCTTATTTTTTGATGCCAAAAAGAAGAATTCAATGCTTGAATATATTTCAGGAGAAAGATTCAGCGTGCATTAAAATGCAGACCGGGAATAAAAAAGTTTCTTGATCAAGAATCGTGTGACTGCAATCCGAGGTAAATAGACTATTTAGTTCCTTTCCATGTTACATCAATTCATATATCTGCTTTATAATTTAATTTTAACTAATCAGTAATAAAAAAAATCTTTCAGCAAATTGTCAAATATTGGACTGAAAAACGTCTGCCGACACAAGTTTAAGTACGTTACAAAGATAATCAAAAATGGAAAAAAATGCTATGTTGTATTTCCACAACGGCAATGTATAACATACGCAGACTGTGACAGACAACGGTAAGTAGTACTAATACATATGTATTATCAGTCTCTTTTCTTTCTTTTTTTTTTTTTTTGGGGGGGGGGGGGTAATATTTTGCATTTCTATGAGCAATTAACTTACATGTATTCTAATACATCACAGGGGTTGCTCCAAGAGAGCCCGCGTAACAAGTGCCTGTTTGCCTGATCGACACCGTTACTTCAATGTCTGGGTATTCTGTCCTCACAATCATCGGTTTGAACTGGAAACCCTGGAGTTACCTCAATGCTGTACCTGCAGAGAATACAAACTCTGTAGGTAAGAAACGAAAGTAACAGAGAAGAAAGCACCATAGTATGGGAATTCAATGTTGTAACACTGAAAAAGGTGAAAAGACAGATGGTAGAATCTCTCTGGAGTTTGAGCAATGGCAGAACCTTTAATATGTTACAGATTCTCTTATGCAATTATCAATAAAAACATCAACATTTTGTTAGAGAGTTTTTATTTATATTTTTACACTCGTAAAATCTTCAAATTCAAAAGAAGATAGGCGAACATGGCGAGCAAATACGTATTGTATTACAAGTAAGAAATTGGAAAAGTAATTCTCAATTTTGACATTATTTCATTTAGCAGTAACGTAAACTTTATTTAAAAACTCCACAAATCAGAACAATCTCATATTAAAAAGACTGAAATAATTCTGCTATGAAAATAGCAAAGATACACCAAGTGCCTTAAATATGCTACACAGTTTCTTTTGCTGTATAGTTATCAAATAAAGTACAAACTTTTTATTAAAGAGTTCTTTTTTGTGAACACCTGCTAAGTTGCTCCCCATATTCAAAGATAAATTGAATTAAAATCCTCATTTTTATTTAATTTAAAGGTTACTACAAAACTCTGCATATGTTTGCGTAAAATGGCCATGTGTCAAAAGAAAGTTACTGAAAAATTTGAATGTAATTTGAATAGAAACAAAAAAATCATTTCATTTCCTTTTGAACCTACTGTGGAATCATTAAAATTCATGGGGGTCAATTTTCGTGGATCGCTAAAATTTTACGTGTTCGTGCAGACGTAATTTTGTGTATTCATCGCATCTTTAAAAGGTAAAATTACTCTGAATCCCTTGTTTATAAATTTGTGGAGGGTGTAAATACTCGGATGAAGGGAACCCAGGAGTTCCATTAATATTGAGTCACCACGAAATATAATGATTCCATAGTATATATCACTGATCATTGATGCAAGCAAATATAGCTCAGATTACACTCCATATCCCATCTTACATAAGAGGACCAAAAACAAAACAAAAAGAAATACTGAATTTCAAAATGTTCATGTACATATATATTTAGATATATATGTACTGTTGGCCATTAAAGTATTCATCCTTAATGTGAGTGGTTTTTATTTATTTTTTATTTTTTTAAATTTTCATCACTTTTTCCTAACATTAAAGAACTGTTATGTTTGCGTTCCTAGATTCCCATACAGACTACATTGAGTTTATCTCTGCAGTAAGATTGCTTTGGTTAATGCAGATTTGCATGTTAGATTCACTTTCAAAAATTATATCGTCAATTGTTACGTACAGAGCTGAAAAATTGTAATTGTCCATGAAAAAATAAATACATTTTTAGTTTAAAATCAACACATTTTAATAATATCTAAAAAATTTTTTACATCAATCATCTCTACTTTTGGTTTTCTTTTATGAATATATAAGATAACTTTGATCAATCTGATGCATACTTTAAATACTTTCCTTTATTCTTAAAGCCAGCAAAATGGTATTTCTTAGTACGTAAAAATTACAAATTTTATAGTGCAAAGTAACTTGGACCTTTTTCTTTATCACAATTTTAAATGTATCATTTTTATACTGTAAGACTTATTTTAAGCCATGACTCCTGATCATTCAAGTTTAAATATATTCGAGGAAAACGCACAAAAGGTTATATGTAAATTGCAAATACAGGTGGGAATGTCATATTAAATATATCGAAGTTCAAAAGATGCATTTTGCCCCCTTTTTGTTTTCATTTTTTTGTTTTATTAACCTTTGTGTCCATATATTAAACAATTCTTCAGGACTTTTGTGGAATCCACCCTCCTTAAAAAAAACGCTCATAATACAGAAGCAAAAGAAGGTGTGCGGCTATATTGCAATTATTCCTATGGGGAAGCTTTATTAAATTAAAGATTCCGGGGGAAGGTTTGCTTCACAGAAAAACCAGCTCAATCAAGTGAGCAAATGGCTTGATGAATATATGAAGCTATTTCCTTATTTGTAGTTTTATCTTACACAAAGACATTTAAAAATATAAATATCTGTAATTTTTTTTTCTGTGGTACGCAGATATGATTGTATTATATTGCTACGTTTCACGAAGATTAACTTTACATTGATCTATTTGGACACCTATAGGCTATCAGAGTTATTGCCCTTGACAAGCACTGCATTATAAATAGAAATACGGAAGACACAGAAAACTTTCCTTCTGTTATGTATGAAAACAATAATATATTAAGTTTGTAAATTCATCACTTGATTTAAGTTGCAATGGAATAATGACTAGAAAATGTTTATTTAAACTCAATTTTAAATGCAATGCACGTTCTCTCTGACGAGAATTCTTTCATTCAATCCCATGCATGTGTAAAATCTACTCAGTCTCAAATTATGAATTTTGCAAGTTCAATTCAAACGAAAATATTTTATAAACACCAATATTATATCACAGACACTTCTGTTTTAAATTAATATATATGCCGAAAATTCAGCTAGGATGGGCTGAGAATGAAATATATGGAGATAACGAACAGTATTCAAGCTCAAAAGTCCATTATACAATACAAAATAGGAGCAGAGCAAACACGGACCTCCAAACATTACAGGTGGGATCAGGTGCCATGGAGGAGTGAGCATCCCCTGCCGACCGGTCACACCCACCGTGTGCTCCTTGTCATGATCGGGAAATAACGGAAAAATCCGTCGGCAATTCAGTGTGTAAATAATGGCCTAACAATTAGTATGAAAAACGTCAGTCAGCATTTGACTCAATGATAAATTGTATTTGCTGACAAGGTCATTGTATCGACCATAGAACTTACGAAATGATGACTTTAAACGAGACAGCTGATATTCTTGTTTCATCAACTTATTTGTCAATAATTTACCTCGTTTTAGAAATTGTACATACGTAGAGCATGCTCTTGCTAATCGAATCAACTGAGAGATATATACCCCGGATGCAGGTGATGAGGGTATATTGCTGCATAAGTAAGGGAAGTTGACGATTGAAAAGTTAAAGTCATCACGTTTATCATAAAGCTTGGTTGTTAGATTACCATTAACGTCTTTTTCAAGTAAAATATCCAAATATGAAACAGATGTGTCAGACTCTGTGGTATCTTTTATCTCAAGGTCACCAGGATATATCGTATCGACATAAGAATGAAAATAGCCATTGTTAATTGACAATACGTCGTCGATATATCTAAATGTCGAGTTGAACGCCACAGCAAGTGCTTTCTTCTTTTCACGTACAAGATTTTGGACAAATTCTGCTTCATATGAATACAAAAAAAGGTCTGCTAATAACGGGGCGCAATTGGTACCCATAGGAATTCCAATAGATTGTTGGAAGACCTGGTCTCCAAAAACCACATAGATATTGTCAATCAGAAACTCAAGCATCTTTTTAATGTCAACTTCAGAGTACTTGTGTTTACAATCAGAATGTTTTTTAACAAAATAATTTTGCAAATGACCAATGACAAGGTAAGTATATTTACGGGTTCCATTTTTATTGAAAAAGCAGCTGTCAATGATATCAAAAAGCCTGGACTTTAATTTATCGTGGGGAATGGTTGTGTATAAAGTTGAAAAGTCGTAAGTTTTTAAGCTGTTGATTTTGGTAAAATCTTGTGATTTCAAATTTTCCAAAAGTTCCTTGGAATTTTTAAGTATCCACATCTGATTTACACCACTTCTCGAATAGATTGTTGCACAGTACTCTTGAAGTTTCTCCTTCACCACTGTTAATATCTTAGTGAGGAGTAAAGATAGAGGCTTGGTTGAACATTTACTGGAACCCGCTATGTATCTTTGTTTGTAAGGATTTTTATGAAGTTTCGGAATCCAATATAAATATGGTAATTCGAATTCATTTTGGTTGTTTGGAATATTAAAAATATTCAAAACTGACATATGATTTTGAAGAATTTCTTCCTTAGAAAGGGAACTATGAGTGTAAGTTGGATTACCACTTGCAGAATTAAATCCAAGTTCCTCTAAAATACATTTAATATAATGAGCCTTACAAACAAAGACAATGTTGTTACCTGCTTTGTCAGCAGGGACTAGCACGTACTGATCATGTAATCTATCTAATTCTTTTTTCACTTCTGGATTATTGAATACAGAAGGATAGATGGTTTTCATATTGCCTCTCAATTTTTCAATGCGCGATTTTAACATACATCTGATACATTTAATCCATTCTGACAAAGTGTCAAGATCTTCTTTTTAATGTCTGGCCCATCGCCTGGCGTAGTCCTCTACAGAATCCATGATATTTATGAAATTCTTACGCCAGTTGAAGGATCTGGGTTCCCTAAATTTAGGACCTTTTAAAATTAGTGATCTAAGGTCCTCATTATTAACTTCATTTACGTCACCAGTAATAACGTGTCCAGCAGGACTATAGTTATAGGGCGAAGAAGAACATGAACACGATGGAGGATTATGTTTCAGATATTCGATATCCAGGCCCTGTAAAGTTTTCTTGTAATTAAAAAGTTTGGAAGCAATAGTCGATGTATATTTGTAGGAAATACAAGGTGTAGTCTTTAACTTGAAATATGGTGGAATACAAGACTGGACCCTTTTGTGATTAAGGATATTGCTTATATTAACCTCGTCAATTCCTTTGTTGGCATATTGAAGTTTAAGGAAAAAACGGATTGTTTTAGCTGCATTTTCTTCAGTAAAACGCGGGGGTTTAAAAAGCCTATGATTGGCAATATCCATAACTACAGATCCGAGCCTATATTCTGGTGTTGAGGAATCAAAAAATGGACTTTCCTTGACCTTTTCAAGAAGACTATTTAAAAGTTTCAAAGGGACAGAGTAAAGTTTGGTGCGAATATGATGTAGACCTAACTGTTGATTTACGTAAGGTAGTAATGAATCAAAAGAGACATCGTGTATTAAAGGTTTATTGTAAGACCGATGCCCATGACTACGCTTACGTCTCTGTGTATGGTTAAAAAGTCCCATCACATTTACATTGTTACACTGTGGACTGGAAAGATTTCCAACACTATCGACATTGTCATTACATCCATAGGGAAAGGCTGTCCCTAGCTTTCTTATCCAAAATTCTTCTCGTTGTCTACAGAAAGGTGTACTCAGTGATGGACTGTTTGTGTGGTGGTAAATCTTT